TATTTATGGTTTACATAGAAAAAGAAACAGTGGTATTAATCACATAATGTTTGTGTGTGTGTCAGTGTCAGAGCTCTGACTTGTTTCTTCAATTATTTTTGTCTTAGAAAGGAAAAACAGCCTTTATTGCAAATAAATTCTATGACTGAGGATGAAAAGGTGTCCCTCTAGAGCAAAGTGTGAGGAAATATCATAGTGAGGAGCCCTGGTCCCAGCTTTTAAGCCCGAGGAGTCCAGTGTTCCTGAAGCCCTGCCACACACTGCTGACAGGGGTCCTCACAGTTGGTGTTCTGGACAGTTCCATGCCACATAGGGCAAGATAATCCAAAACACTAAATAATTCTATGGAAACAGAAGCTGACCAGCTTTCCTTGTCCAGAGCAGCCTGCAAATAGCTAGTCCCATGTACACAGGTGTGGTTAAGAATTTTAAAAACAAAGTGGGAGTTTTAGAAACACTTCCTGGTAAATTGATGCAATCATTTTTGGAGGTTGATATTGTAATATTGCCCTTATTTATAATAAAAATGTATATACCTTTGGACTCACAAGTTCCACTTATAAGAATTTACTATGAGGAGAATGGCACAACTATCAAGAATTGAAGGCACGAGTGTTTTCATTAAAGCACATTTACGTCAGCAAAAACTGTAAACAACTACCAATCCATCAGTATGGAATGAATAGATAAACTAATTTATATTTATATTATATTATGGTCCCAAAGTGCTGGGATTACAGATGTGAGCCACTGTGTCAGGCCTTACAGTTGTATATTAGAATACTGGAATTCACTAAAATGATTGCATGGATACATATGTACTAATATGATCAAGATACTTTGGAAAGTGAAAAAAGCAAGCCTAAGTGTGTGCACACACACATGACACATACATGCAGACCCATATGCAGCCCTCACCGATGCTTATATATTCATAGAAAATTTCTGGAAGATCCAACTAGATCTTAATGGTAGTTACATTTGGGGTGCATGAAAGGATTGGTGAGCAGAGAGACATTTACTTTTTATCTTATTTATTTTATGCTGTTTATTTTATCAGAGCGTAGATGAAATAATTTTTAAAAGAAAACATGTAGAAAGGAGTTCAGAAAAATCACTTGTGGGATAGAGCTGAAGATTGTGTAGAAAGATGTATAATTTTTGCCAACCAGCACTGGCAGAGCTGCATGGGACCCTCTTCAAGTCATAACCAGCCACGCATGTAGAATGCACACTGGGGAAGTGAAGGGAAATTTCCTTTCCATTACTGGAAAGAAACGGTTTTGAAATGTGTCTGAAATAGGAAATGTATAGAGGTATGGGTGTTCAGGAGGAACAACAGGTAATACCTTATTTGAAATAAACAGTAAGTGAGATAGTTTCAAATAGGAGATAGTTTCAAACAAGACCCAATATTGTAGAACGGCACTAAGGAGAAAAGTGCAACGGCACTTGAGGCTATTTAAAGTGGGTAAGAAAAATAGAGATCTTTACGAACAAGAACTATTAATAACCTTTTAATTTGGTTGCATTTAAAAAGTCTTGGTATTTGTTATAAGCCAGTATATTCATGTTCCAGAGTCTCTCCTGGAAACCAACCGTGGCATAAGAGCATAGCACTGGGTCCTGCCGTACTCATTCCACTGAAAATCTGAGAACTCACACCTCTGAGACTGAATGATCTGTCCTAGTGTACATCCACACACTGTGAACTGGACTCAAGTGGATTCTCCTGAACGATGGATGCTTTTCTTTTTTGGTGTCTTTTATACCTATTGACTTTTATTAAATTGTGTTCATAAGGTCTCTTCACCTTTAAGCACCTTTAGAATATTCTCTAAAGGCTGGTCTATAGCAGAGTTTCTCAGTCTTGGTACAATTTACATTTTATGCCATATAATTCTTTGTTGTAGAGGGCTGTCCTGTGCATTATAGGATGTTTAGCGACATCCTTGGCCTCTTCCCACTCATGCCAGTAGCAACCTCCTGCTTCCCCAGTTGTGACAATCAAAAACGTCTCCAGATATTGCCAAATGACCCCCAGAGCAAAATTACTTCCAGTTAAGAGTTGCTGGTCTGTAGACAAGCCGCAAATGTCATAAATACTCTTATCTGTGTGTAATTTATTTTCTCTATCTACATAGTTCATTTTTCTGTTAAGTATTTCAAATTGCACCATGATGTGAGGAAGCTCATTCCCGTGTCAGTAGTGTTGCACTGTGCTTCTTTGACCCTGAATGCAACTATCAATACTCCGTAAGGTAGTTACAGAAAATGTGCATACATTCAAACATTCATTCAACAAAATCAATTCATTTCACAAGTGTTTATTAAAAACTCACTGTACGTCTCTCGCTGAGTGAAGTACTAGTTTTATAGAAAACAAACGAATGATCATTGCTCCTAAAAAGTTCCTGGTCAATTGGGGAAGACATATGAAATAATAACCACTTACAATACAGGGTAACAGGGCTAAAATGGACACATGCATAAGGCATTGTATAAGTGTAAATAAGAAAATAAACAAAATTATTAATAAATACTTAATTACTTTTAAAATTTTCTGCTTTCATCTTGAAAAAATATTAAAAGTTTATCATTAGTATCTTTCTTTTAACACAATTTCTTTTGTGTATTTTTGTCTTTCTGTAGATGCCGTGGCCATCACGTGGACTGATCGAGTTTTCCCCTCATTAGCATGGGTTATTCCTTTTGCTATTTCTGCCTCATTATTTAGCAACCTTCTGATTAATGTATTTGAATCAGCAAGAGTGATATATATTGCAGGCCAACAGGGCCACCTGCCTTTGCTGTTTCACACACTCAATAGTTACTCCTCTCCATTTCTATCTGTGCTACTACTTGTCAGCATGGGATCCCTTGCAATTGTCTTAACAAACCTCATTGACTTGATAAACTACTTTTATTTTATGGTTACTTTTTGTTCTGTATTATCAGCGGTGGGAATACTAAAACAGAGATTCCAGGAACCTGATCTACCTTCATCTTATAAGGTAAAAGTGGGCTTTCTTTTTTTCTGTGTGAAAGGAAAGATACTGAGTGCACCCATATGTAAGAGTATATTCAGAACATGAACATGTATGAGTAGATTTTATGTTTTACTACTCAACAGTTGTGAAACACATAAGAATAATCTGGTCTTGGTTTTAATCTTCATTTTTATTGGATTGGTTTTGCTCAATATAAAATCTCTTAGGTTCCATTTAATGGTTTATTAGAGAGAAAGATAGTTCCCTGGGTGGTTGGACGGATCATTATCAGTCTTTTGACCAGAGATTACTTTGTCTGCTTCTGTAGCTACTTATGCACAGTGTCTTCCCCAGTCAGGGTCAGATTCAGCAGATGGGAAACAGAAGAGGCAAGGTGAAGTCACAGGTGATAACCTCTACTGTCCTGAAACATCAGCTCATCATTGACAAATTCCATCTTTTCAACTTTACTTGCTTTTAAACTTACTTTCAGTCCAGATGAGAAGAAAATTTCATAGGAGAGGAGACAGCCTTTTAATCATAGAAAAAGAAATAAACAAAAACTCAGTAGCATAAGGATGTTATTAGAGAAAGGGGGCCCTGATGCTCTGATTATCAGAAAAAAATAGTCGTGGTTGGCTAGGTAGAACGTTCAAAGCTTTGCTTGGATGATCACCTTTAGTCCTCTCAGAAATACAAAAGGTGAATTCTATTGTTATTCTCCTTTATAGAGGAGGAAACAGACTTAGAACAGTTAAGTCACTTGCCTAAGCTCACACAGCATGGAGTGGAGCCAAGGTTGAAATCCAGGCACTCTCTGCAGAGTGTTTGACTCTCACTGAGTACAAAATATAAGAACGAACTCTGGAAGAAAGAAAGCAATGTTCTCATCACCGACTTTGGTTGACTTATGACCATCCTTCCTTTTCCGTCTTCCCTTTTACTTCTTTCATCCAGCCATTCCTTAACTGCTGGGTATTTGAGTGTTAGTTATTGAGAAGCAACCTTGCTAGGTATTCTGGGCACAGAAAGAATTAAGATTTAGCTCCTGCCCTTAGGCAGTTTATGATCCATCTGGACTGTCAGGTGAACCAAAAACCACGGTGTGGTGATTGCTGCATAGTGGCCTCCAGAGGATGCTCAGAGAACACGTGGGGGAGGGGGATCTAATCTAGGGCAGGGACGACAGCCGTGGTACCCCTTGTAGTTGCCTCCCCAACATCTGCTCTCCTCATCGTTTCACATGCTGCATTGTTTTAATGTGTTCCTTCTTTGCTGTTTTCTGACCCACATTTTTGTTAGATCACTGAGCCTAATTAGACACAATTACAAAGAAGTTATGAACCGATGATGGATTTGTTATAACACTGAGACGCAGTACAAGATAATCATTAAGAGCTTGGGCACAAGTCTAATTGCTTGGCTCAGTAGCTGAACTTGGTCTTGTTATTTAAATTCTAATCCTCAATTTCTTCATATGTAAAAGGGTAATGAATAATACCTACCTGCTATTAATGTTGAAGATATTAAATAAGCTAAGGCATGAAAACAATCCAGGGTCTGACATTGATGGCTATTAGTATTTATAATAATATTCAACGTATATTTGCATCAAAAAGAAAGGCAAGGGCAACCTTGAATATAAGTGGCTTGTATGCCCAAGAGCTCTTTTCTCCTCTCTCAATTATTTGCTAATTGATACTGAGCCGTGAGATAAGTTATGTTTCCTAGGGATGCTTTACAAACTAAGAGGAGATTGTTAATGATTTAAGCCCCAAATGAATGATCCTCTAATTAAAGGGTTTCCTAAATTGTGACTATCTGTGTTATATGTTTGGAGTATGGAGTCACATATCAAAAGTGACTACCTACTGAATTTTCTCCCTAGATTGAGTAATGTTGTATAGGGCCCTTACAATCCTAACACCAAGCAGGTACCAAGGATGGGTCTTTAAGGTTTTTGGCAAAACAAAAACAAAATCAAAACGAAAAATAGGAAGATTATTTTGGCTGATGTTTTTGTTTTGATTTGTTTTGTTTTTTAATATGCTAAGCCTTTAATGTCATAATATTTACCTGTCAATATTTACCTGAGTAACGGAGGGTCTTTGTGTTCTTATCATGAATTTATTACTGCTAGATGGTTGTCTTATCAGCAAATGGTCACTGTTGCTCCCATTCACGAACAGTCAAATGCTGGATGCTCATTCCCTCCAACCTGACAATGACAGTCTTCAATGTCTCCTTTTACTCAGGCTTTTATCTGAGTTTTAAGCCAAGTTTATGTAACTTCATAGGTAACTTAGCCTGTTTTCTATCATTAGCGTATATCTTTTAATTTTTATTGTATAAATATGCAGGTATCATATATGAATTTTCATATTTATTTTTTTATTTTGCTCTTTTCAGGTCTTTTTGCCATTTCCATCGATAGCAATGGCCATCGGCCTGAGCCTGGTTTTGATCCCATTGGCGAAGTCTCTGAGTGTGCAATATGTCTAGGTGCTTCTCTTTGTTTTCAGTGGACTATTGTTTTACATACCTTTGATACATTTTAAATTGAGGTTGGTTTGGTTTGAGAAGATGACTTGCTATTTACAATTACTATTTAATATTTGCATCCCTGATGTGTCTGATGAACATATGTCAGAAGTACAAACTGTTAAGAAAAAAATAGCCTTCAAAAAAGCATACCGAATTCCAGATAAAGATTAAACATGATAAAACATTCATGGTGAAATTCCTCTGGTAACTCTCTTTCTCAAATGAAATAATGTGTATAAAAGTGACTAGGACAGTCCCTGTCTCCAAAATCACAAAAAATTGTTATGCATAACTAAAGCTGTGTTTTATTTGGTAAAAAAACTTACGTCCCAGTTTGCATAGGTTGATATATTGATGATATCTCTTTCATTCTTCAATTTTTTCTGTATCTTACCCCTTTTCTACTGAATTTGTAGGGGTCTTATAGTAAAAGTTAATGATTAAAAATAAAAAAGCATTCACTTCATCCTTCCTGAGTCCTTTTTTTCCCGGTACTGATTGGAAGATAAAAAGAATAATTCCATTTGTCTGGTTGGTTTTTCCCCTGAAGTATAAAGAATTTTTCCAAGTGAATAGCTTTTTTTAGAAGCATGAGTTTTTATGCTATTTTCTTTTGAGTGCTTTTCTTTAAATTCTGAGGTGCCTTAGAAGAACAACATTACCATGTCTTCATTTAGTTAAAATGTGACCTATTGGCAACAATGTGGTTGTGAGTATAAAATGTGTGGAATAGAGGCTGAGTGGACAGCATCTCAGTAGTCGTACTCAGCCTGTATCACTCCGTTTTAAAAATTCATCTACTTAGCTTAGTGTTTTAAAGGATCTGGGTTTGGAGATGTCCTTTCAGAAAGCAGACAGGCAATGTGGGAAGGTGTCAGCAACCTTTGTTAGCCAACTCTATCCCTCAGAAGGGGGATCCCCACATGTCAAAGGTTGGGTCAAGTTTGAGGAGCCATCCCCTGGGTTGATGGTCAATTTTATGTGTCAGCTTGGCTGGGTCACGGGGCCCAGAGCTTTGGTCAAACAATATTCTGGATATGTCTGTAAGGTTATTTTTTGGGCGAGATTAATATTTAAAGTGTTAGACTTTAAGTAAAACAGATTGCCCTCTCTAATGTGGGTGGGCCTCATCCAATCAGTTGAAGACCCTAATAAAACAAGGACTGATCTCCCCAAGCAAGAGAGAAGTCTGTCAGCAGATGGACTTGAACTGCAACATCAGCTCTTCCAGGGTCTCCAGCCTGACAGCCCACACTGCAGATTTTGGACTCACCAGCCTCCATAAGCATGTTAGATAATTCCTTTAAGTAAAGCTCTCTCTTTCTCCATACACACATCCATTAATGGGTTTCTCTGGAGAACCCGAATACATCTGGCTTTTTCACCCAACTTAGATACCCTACTCTTGCTTGCTAAGGACAACCCCTCCCAATTATTTACATCCCATCCCTTTTTGGCATATGGTTAAACATTATTCAAACTTAAACAATTACTTATTCAAATTAGCAGGATAGACAATCTATTTATATCATATTACTTATTTCCTATGACCGCTGTGTTATGTGGATCTCGTGACTGAACATTCCTTTCCCATAAACCTCCACTACATTTAGACAATTGCCCAACTTCCCTCTTCCTATGAGCTTTTCAACACCCAGTATGTGGCAAAATAATTCCTGAGCTTAGTTCCACAGAAGTCATCCTCATTTTATAGATTCAGGATCAGAGCTTCAGAGTCTAGAGACCTGGAAAATATTTAAATTACAAGTGAGAATAACCACAGGTTTAACTGGTATCAGAATTAGAAGTACCCGTACAAAGCAACTTGCCCACCTGTGCTTGTATGCTCCCAGGGGTGGGGGAACCTCTACTTGCTAAAGATGCTGGTCCTACCTTTGGACAGCTCTGGCTTTCCAAAAGCTTTTCCTAATAATATGAAGCTGCAATGTAATTTCTACCTATCGGGTAAGTCTAATCCTCTTTTGTATCACATCTCTTCAGATATTTGGTAACAGCCATCTCTTGGCTCTGAGTCTTCTCTTCTCCAGACTAAAACTCTCCAGTATTAAGGAGTTGCTACCTTTGAAAATCTTGATGTCTTCACCCCTTGCCAGGCCCCCCCTTTGTTTTTTTTTTGAGACAGAGTCTCACTGTGTTGCCCGGGCTAGAGTGCCGTGGCGTCATCCTCGCTCACAGCAACCTCAAACTCCTGGGCTCAAGCGATCCTCCTGCCTTAGCCTCCCAAGTAGCTGGGACTACAGGCATGCACCACCATGCCCGGCTAATTTTTTCTATATATTTTTAGTTGTCCGATTAATTTCTTTCTATTTTTAGTAGAGACGGGGTCTCGCTTGTGCTCAGGCTGGTTTCGAACTCCTGAGCTCAAACAATCCGCCCGCCTCGGCCTCCCAGAGAGCTAGGATTACAGGCCAGGCCCATTTTTATATAAAGATGCCCTAAATTTTTAAGCTGTAAATGATGCAGTTTTTCCAGACATGGTCTGACTATGGTAGCGTACAGCAGAGCTATCATTTCTCTTGTTCTAAGTATTATAGTTCTGTTCACTGTTTTGGTACTAATATACACTCACACCTCCTAAGTCTTTCCTGTAAATTATGGCGGAGACATGCCTATTCTAAGACTGGGTGAGATACCACCTAGGCAAGTCTGATAGGTCAATACAATTTCTCAGGGAAACTTTTGTTCTACAACATGATAACAAGAAATTGGCTAATGGTAGCAAATTATTTTTACCCAATCCTTCTTAAATGTTGCAACCTCATCCCCTTCCCCAGTTATACTTATTTCCAAGGTGCATGATGCTTTTGAGCATCCCGTGGTATAAATCAGCTTGTTTCTCAGCTTCTCCTACCGTTAGTTTAGGGATCCTCTGTCTTGAGTCTCCTAAATCAGTTACCTTTCATCCATTCACTTTCTAGTTTCAAGAATTTTGTTGCTCTGTTTTTTCCCCTTTCCTTGTGAAGTTATTTATTTTCAAATTTCCTTTATTATAGTTTTAGTGGGAATCCAGAAGGAGGGACTAAAATAGATGTTTCTTCAATCTGCCATCTTAACCTAGAAGCCTAGGAACTTTCAATACATTTAAGAATTTAAAAAAATGTGTCACAAAGATTTTTTTTCTGACAAATAATATGCCAGTCAAGAAATCTCAACTGATAACATTAATTACTCTCAATAAAGTTTAAGGGAAGGGTGTTGAAAGAGATTTGACTTAAAAAGTTTTGTCTTGGTGATCCAAATTGTTTTTAAACAAAAATATAATAATTATCCTACATTTCCTTGTATTTTTTGGTGGTGTACAATATTTTCTTCCCTTTTGGTGGGTACCACATCTTTAAGTTTATAGCTCATTCAAAATTTCTGTGTGAGTTAGAGTCTTATGGAAGACAGTATGTCTTGTGGCAAGCTAGAAAACTCTTTATCACATGGAATCTATGAGCAATTTAGTGTATGGGGGAGACCCTATTGTTTGCCCCCTTCTCCCTTGCTAACAGAGAACTAATTTTATTTAGAGAAAAGGCAAAATCATTCCCAGCTTCGGGGGATGAATCATAAACGATCTTAGCCAAGTACTGTAACCCATGTTCCTTATCTGTGTTTGGCTTTGATGCAGGGAGGGGACCCAATTTTTGCCAGTGAATGTAAGGAAGAGTCTAATGTAGCTTATAAGAAAGATTGCCCTCCCTGATGAAAAGACAGAAACCAAAAAAAGTTCTCTATCCTTTCCTTTCCTTTCTTGGATTTTGTCATGCAAAGATGTGATGGTGGAAGCTGTACTTGGCCATCTTGCGACCCTGAGGCACAAGTCAGGAGAACCATGGAGAAACAGACAGAGCCCTCACGTTATCTAGCTGCAACCTTAACCAAGCCTGGAACTGCCTGCTTTCAAATTTCTTATGTGACTTAATTGAATATGCCATAGTTTTAGACACTTACCCAGTTTTTCTACTTCAAGCCAAAAATAGTTTTTGTTTTTTTTGTTTTTTTGAGATGAGATCTTGCTATGTTGCCCAGGCTGGAGTCACAGTCCGATCACCTTAGCCTGCCGAATAGCTGGGACTACAGGCACACGCCACTGTGCCCAGTTAGTCAATCTCTTTAAACTCATTTTGTCCTCTATGAATTAGAGTTAATACCTACCACTTCGGTATTTTATGAGAATTGAATGAGATAATATATTTAAAAATTTTTAAAAAGGGGTTTTCTCAGTGTCTGGCACGTGTTAACTCTAAATAAATAGTAATTAACGTTATTTTAAATTAAGTGAAACCTCTATTTTCTTTCATGTTAATAACTATCTTAATAACACCCATCATTTGGCCTAAAGAGTATATAAATTGGAGAGACATACACAACTTTTTTTTTTTTTTTTTTTTACATTCAAAATCTGGCGCATATGGCCGGGCGCGGTGGCTCACGCCTGTAATCCTAGCTCTCTGGGAGGCCAAGGCGGGCGGATTGTTTGAGCTCAGGAGTTCGAAACCAGCCTGAGCAAGAGCAAGACCCCGTCTCTACTAAAATTAGAAAGAAATTAATTGAACAACTAAAAATACATAGAAAAAGAAATTAGCCGGGCATGGTGGCACATGCCTGTAGTCCCAGCTACTCGGGAGGCTGAGGCAGGAGGATCGCTTGAGCCCAGGAGTGTGAGGTTGCTGTGAGCTAGGATGACGCCACGGCACTCTAGCCCGGGCAACACAGTGAGACTCTGTCTCAAAAAAAAAAAAAAAAAAAAAATCTGACGCATAGTAAATGCTCCACAAAATTTAAAAACAAGTAAACAAAAAAAGAACCTAAGAAAAAAATTTTTACCGAATGAATAAATAGAAATAAATAGGTGAGTGAGTGAATGAATGTCAATAGTTTCTAGTGACTATTGTTTACTCTAAACAGCTAGAAGAAACAGTAGCATGGTATCCAAATAAATCCTGTGGAAA